ATAGTCAAAGACAATACTTTAAGAAGAGCAGCACAATGTAACTGCAAATGAATGTCACACACACACACACGCACACGCACACGCACACACACGCACACACACACACACAAAGCCAGACAACGTTAAGCTCCAGTGAAGAATTTTGGTAATTACCAGCTGTATTGTAAAAATCACCCAATATGTTTGTCTCCATTGTTTGTGATTCCTTTGAAGACTGAAAACACTCTCCTCTCTGCTGCTGTCCCCACCCTCGCCATTTTATCCTTTTCTGTTCCCACCGATTCCTACCACTGTGACAAATTACTCACTTACTGACCTTTTGTTTCAATATTACATTCATGGAGGGAGGGAGAGCAGAACAGGATACAGAGAAGGAGGGAGAGTGAAAGTAACTGTATGTGTGTGTTTGTGTGTGTGTGTATGTATGTGTACAGGAATGATAGAATTTGGAAGTCGCCCCCCAGTTTTTTAAACAAAAATGAACTCTAGGACAGGGATGGTGGTTGTTTTTTAATGGGTAGACCTTAAAGAGAACCAGGAATAGGTTCTGTGTAAATAAGAGACCAGCAGGGTGGTTCATTTGTTTGTTCATTCATTTGTTTGTTTAGTCAACAGAAATTTAATGAGTACCTACTATGGAAAGGCATTATGCTACCTAGTGGATACTCACAAAAGTGAATGATTTTTTTCATAAATATGATAGGAAATTACAATTTTTTATTTTAAAATAAATTTTTATTTTAAAAGCTAAACCCCTTATCTAAGTGGATTCAAGGATTAAACAAATATTTATTCAGCTTTACTGATTATTTGCCCTTTGAAATATTATTTGTTAAGCTTCATGACACTATGCTCTCTAGAATTTATTTTCTTTAGATCTTAGACTCCTTTGCAGGATTTTCATCCTTAGCCTGTTATTTAAGTGTTGGTGTTCCACAGGGTTAAGTTTTCATTTCTTTATTCTACATACTTCCCTGGGAGTTCTCATTGCTCCTATGACTTTTATTTATTTTTTAAAATTTATTTATTATTTATTTTTGACTGTGTCGGGTCTTAGTTGCGGCACTCGGGATCTTCGTTGAGGCACGCGGGCTCTTCATCGTGGTGCATGGGCTTCTCTCTAGTTGTGGTGTGCGGGCTCCAGGGCGTGTGGGCTCTGTAGTTTGCGGCACGTGGGCTCTCTCGTTGAGGCACGTGAGCTCAGTTGCCCCGTGGCATGTGGGATCTATAGTTCCCTGATCAGGGATCGAACCCCTGTCCCCTGCATCATAAGGCGGATTCTTTGCCACTGGACCACCAGGGAAGTCCCACTCCTATGACTTTTAGTATCATCTCTATGTGATACAGAGACCAGATCTGATGACACCAAATTCTGCATGTCCAGTTCAATATAGGACATTGCCACCTGGATGTTTCAAGGTGCCCAAACTCAGAATACCATAAAATTGAACTAATCAACTTCCTCTTATCTCATGACCTAGCACAGCCATCCATGAAGTTGCCCAATCAAGAAACCGAAGAGTCATTCTTAACTCCTTTCTTTATACTCCCTAATAATCTAAAAGTTCCCTAAATTTTTATATCCTAAATTATACTAAGAAACCACCCATTCCTCTTCACACACTCTGCTACCACCCAATCCAAGTCACTGTCATCTCTTGGCAACATTCTCACGAACACTTGCTTAATTGGTCTCCCTGGTTTCAATCTTGCCTGCCCCCAATGGTTTTGGACTTTATAGCCAGTTACTTGTTAAAAGTGAAAATTTGATCACATTGTTCTCTTGTTTCAAACCCTTTACTGGCTTCCCATATACTAAAGGTAAAATTCCAACTCCTTTATGAGATCCTTTAGACCTCTGTTAACCTTACAAACTCTTGTCTTGCCTCTCCTCTCTCAGACACTATACTCCACCACACTGAAATTCTTTCAGTTCCTTAAACATGAAATTGATGCTTTTACCTCACGCATTCCCACATCCTTCGCACTGCCTAAAACTTACCTTTACTCCAAACCCACCAATGCTAACTCCTGATTATCATTTAAATACTGGCTTCCTTTGGGAAGCCAACTTGGGTTGCCACTCCACCCCTGCTCAACCTACCCACCTTCAACCCCCTGTACTTGCACCCAACCTACCTGTATCTCTACCAAAGATAGGTCCTGTTATATGTTCCCACAATGATGTATACATCCTCTCTAATATCATTTTTTAATATTTTATTATAAACATCTATTTAAAATTCTTTTTCATTAATTCTGGTATAAAGGGCAACAAACTATCTAGCATAAGCAACTTGCCCAGTACAGTGCCTTGCACAGAACTGGTACTCAATAAATATTTGTTCAATGAGTAAATGGAGCACCTTTTATTTAAAGGAACTGGGAAGTGTTTAGAGATAAATAAACACCTCCTACCCTTAAGGAGGATAACATTAAATGTAGAATGGCTGTTATACGTAATTATATGATGATAATGAGTAAATAAAATTGACTTCAATTTGGATACATGGGGATTTGCTAACACTGTAAATTGTAATGAAATATTTAGCTCTCCCTTCTGGGATAATCTAATGCACACTAAACACTTCTGGAAGACAGTTTTACGATTTTATATTACAGATAAGAAAATAGGCACAGCAAAATTACTCAAGGTTACCTAGTGAATCATAAGCAGAGCCAAGATTTAAAACTCAAAGTGGTCAATATCCAGTACTTAGTGCTATAATTTTTTGTTTTGTTTTGTTTTTTGTTTTTGCGGTACGCGGGCCTCTCACTGCTGTGGCCTCTCCTGTTGCGGAGCACAGGCTCCGGACGCGCAGGCTCAGCGGCATGGCTTACGGGCCTCCGCGGCATGTGGGACCTTCCCGGACCGGGGCACGAACCCACGTCCCCTGCATCAGCAGACGGACTCTCAACCACTGAGCCACCAGGGAAGCCCAGTGCTATAATTTTTTAAAAACTACTTTTTCTTTTTCTCCCCAAAGTTCTATTTTGTGATTGTAAGACTTCTACCTATATACTTTAATAATCTTCTCAAAAATATCACCTGTAATATTTATAGTTGAATATGGAAACTCAGGAATGGAGGCCCTTTTCGATGGATTTTCCTCTAGTCTTTAAAATACAAGGCTTTGTGTGATGTGTCCCTGCACGCTTGTACACTCTGAGAGGTAGTAAGCTCCTTCTTTGCTCTTAACAGTGTTAGTATTGGGCACTAATTGCCACTACAAAGGGCAAACGTTGAACTCTTCTGCTCTTGGACATCAGGTTGGACACTCTAGGTTTAAACATCCATAGTTAGTTGGCTGGTGCATTCTAGTGCACTCAATGGACATTTCGGTAGAAAATGCTGCCAGTACTTAATAAATACTCGAGAAACAACATAGGCTATTACATTTAACAGGATTTCTGGTTCTAACATTCATACTGTGAGAGAAATAAACTAAAAAAAGGTTTATGATGCCATTTCAAAAGGCCAGATATGTACTAAGTACTCAATAAATATGCTTATTCTCATTGTGGTATTCTGGGGCCAATGGTAAACTTAATGCATAACCAAAATGCATAATAAAGCCTTAATCACCTTCTCACTATATACAATTAGTACACATATATACCTTTGCTCTTTATAACAATAAGCATTGCTGACATTAATTTCTCAGAGATAGACAGGGCAAGTATACACTTGAGATTTTTTTCCTAACCCCAGACTGAACTTTCTTTTTTTTCTTTTTTTTCTTTTTTTTTTCAGGGCCTCTCACTGTTGTGGCCTCTCCCATTGCGGAGCACAGGCTCCAGATGCGCAGGCCCAGCGGCCATGGCTCATGGGCCCAGCCGCTCCGTGGCATGTGGGATCTTCCCGGACCGGGCACAAACCCGTGTCCCCTGCATCGGCGGGCGGACTCTTAACCACTGCGCCACCAGGGAAGCCCTGAACTTTCTTTTTATACCTGAATACAGCACAAGATGTTAAAAGAATCCAACCTGTACAAATTGTGGCTAACACTTGCTACTTTTATTGGGTATGCAGAACACACTCCTCTTAATCATTCTTCAGTTCAATTATACAATTTTCTCTCACCAGATACAACATCAAATAGAAGAACCCCCAATTAAAGAACATTTCTCTTGCTCTTTGAGCTTTGCTTACCCCATCTTTTGTTCACCAGAAGCAAACATCTCTACCTCTAAAGCACTCAAGCCAGCTCATTATATCACTCTCCAGTCTTGCCTTGCAGCTCCAGGCCCAGGAAGAACTTTAAATGTCCAAAGTATTTACTGTTCTTAATCCCCATTGTGACGTTAAGTGAATTGGTTCTGTCATGTGAGTATAACTGATTTTGTTTCCCCTAATAAAGACAGACACTCGAGTTACCCATTTGTAAGCTAGCCCAATGTAAAAGGAAGAGAGAACTTCTGTCAGATGTCAAGTTAACATCAATTACTCATACCATGGAAATGTCAATTAAAACTCTAGTGCAATCTTTCAAACACAATTTTCCAGTCCAAGAAATGTGTATACATCCATAGTGAACGGAGAGGCATACAAGGATAAGCTCAATATATGTGTTAATATTGTTGGTTGGTCATTAGTAGATGGTATTCATGGAGTCAGAATACTTTTGATCTTCACTTGAAAATGTAGATTCCATGAATTCATCCTCATTCATTAGCCCTGCTTTTGGGGAAAGGACTTTGTAAAGATGTTGCTTTCATTTCCTAATGCTGCAGTTCCTACTAAGCTATACCAGGGAATAAAGGTTCCTTTCAAGAGTAGCACAGAGACTGAGTTGGCTTCCTGCTTTCAGAGATTATAAATGTTCTCAAACACTTCCAAAATGAAGCAAATTCCAACTTGGGTTTCAAAGATCTTTTTATTTATTTATTTTTTTACTCCATTTGCCTTAGTGGTCTGAATGTGACAATAATGAAGGCTAACAGAGTAAAAACAAATGTTTAAACCAAAGATACCTGCCCTATTGGAGAATTTACTTTACCTGCAGAGATTCCATTTCTTCATCTTTTCTGTGAGTCTCCTCCAGCAGATCTATAATAAGAAAGTAAAATATCCATCAAAATACAATGTCAAAATGCATTGCCTCTTACTTTCAAACTCGATTCAGTCAGTAGCTTGTATAAACTGTTGTCCGGAAAGAGAATTTGATATATTTAAGTATAAGAAGCAACATGAAAGAAATGCCCTCTGATCCCAACTGGTGAGATGCGGTAGAGATCTGGATTCTGCCAAACCTAAGCTAGCTAAGAAGCCCTGGGAGGTCCTAGGTCTGGTGGCGATACCAGAAAATGAGACCAACTCAATTACAAATCCAAAATCATACCAATGTTTTAGAAATCTGGCCTAATGCTTATGTAACTCAAAAGCAACACAAAATTTTCTTTAAAAAAAAAAACAAAAAAAACCTTTTTTCGTTTGAAAGAAAAAAATAGAAACAAACCATTCGCTCTTAAAATAAGCTCCCAAGCCAAGTTCCACCTCCAGAGTCAATTTTTTAACCAAATTAAAACACCCTGGAATAATGGGTGTGATTAATGGAAGTAGAACACCACCTTAACTGTAAACTCATATTAATTATCATTTCACACTGAGAGGGTGGGAAGCATTGATGCTACATCTGACCAACTGTCTGGCACCATCTCAGAGAAATTAGTGGCTGGAAGAGCGTTCTGTCTAAATGCATGCGTATAACCATGGTATCTCTGTGCCCTAGACTAATTTATGAACTTGCTATAAAGGAAAATGAATTTGGCAAGCAGAATTTTCTGCCTGCAGCTATACCACCTTGCGCTATGATCTTATTAGATCTCACAAACCTAAAGAGGGCTGGGCTGAGTTAGAACTTGGATGAAAACTGGCAAGAAATACCTACAGCAGCGCACATTAACATTAGCATTTGCCTTACTCTGTGATTGATATAGCTTACCAAGAGGCTGTGCTGCATAAAAGGAAAATATAACGTACAGAAATTCAATATGTACCCCAGAAAGGCAAATGCAAATGTTTTTAGCAAGTGCTACAGATGGAGCAGGAAGCAGTAATATACTGGGTAACCAAGTCATGCTGGTATATGTCATAACTGGACAGGCAATATCCTGAAACTTCAGGAGACCTGGTAGATGATATAATTGATGGTGATAGCCCTTTGAAATTGCACAGCTAAGAGAAATACAGAGGAGTGGCAAGCAGTCCCCTCAAGACACAGGGTACTGGGATTAAGGATGAAAGTTCGTTTTTGCTATCTGTAGCCAGCTGATGTTGGCTCCCCAAACACCCATACTCAGAGTTATATCAAGAAAGTTACAGGAGCATGCCAATGTATTAGGGTGTATTTTTAAAGTGTTTTTTGTTGGCACATCAGGATTTTTAGCTATATGGTACAGAAAGCAACTTGGGGTGTGGTAAATTAAGTGCCCTCAATCATTCCTCTTTCTGCATCCTTACTCAATTGCATTGCAACATTGTAACTACTTCCATCAAGAGGTCACATGTATCTTGCATCTAGGCTTGCCTCCTGACTTGATTTGGTAAATAGAAAATAGGATACAGCAGAAGCAATTCTGTGCCAATCTGCAATAAGGGTTCCAAAAGGCCTCATGCATTTTCACTTTTCCACTTGGAACTCTTTCACTACCATTTGAACAAGCCCAGGCCAGCCTGCCACATGACAAGAGACATATGGTCCAGTATTCTTTCCACCCCTGAAACCCTGCAGGTTGCCCCAACTGGTAGCCTGCAAATGCCCAGAAGCATGGATGACTCAGATGGGAGCCCAAATGAGACCAGTCAAACTGCCCAGCTGAGCCCAGTACCGACTTCAACTCAGAGAATCATGACCTATGGAATAAATGGAATTGGGGGATGCTTTGGTACACAGCACTTGGTAACTGATAGCAACCAGCTGCTAACTGAATAGCAAGCATTCAGAATTTATTAGAAGGATGTAAGAGTAACTTATCAATACAATACATCTAGTAACAATAGATAACAGGAAAGTGGATTCAGACTCTGGAGAGAGTAACAACTGGTCTGGGGGTGTAGGGATGAAGGTAGCATGAACTAATGGGCACTTTATACTGGGTAACACTAATCTGTGCATTACTCCACTCAAAATGAAATTCCATAAAGAGAAGAGCTAACGAGACTAGCTTAGATCTTTTGCCTACTGCTTGGCCAGGGGAAAGTATGAAGCACTTTCACTGATAATCCCAAAAGGATTGGATGAAGAACAGAAAGGACTGTTTCCAAACATCAGGGTACTATTAACAAAAGGAGGAGGTATGGATATCAGACAGGCCAAAACAACAGCCAGTTTTAGTAATTCTATCTTCAGTACAACTCTTTTCAATATTTGTGAGACATAAATTACTTCAATATCTTGGCTATCGTAAATAATGCTTCAGTAAACATGGGGGTGCATATATCTTTTTGAATTTAGTGTTTTCATTTTCTTCAGATAAATACCCAGAAGGGGAATTGCTGGATCATGTGGTAGTTCTAGTTTTAATTTTTTGAGGAACCTCCAAACCATTTTCCATAATGGCTGCACCAACTTACATTCCCACCAACAGTGCACAAGCGTTCCCTGTTCTCCACATCCTCGCCAACATTTGTTTTTGTTGCCTTCTTGATAATATCCATTCTAACAAGTGTGAGGTGGTATCTCATTATGGTTTGATTTGCATTCCCTGATGATTAGTGATGTTGAGCATCTTTTTATGTGTACGTTGGCCATCTGTATGTCTCCCTTGGAAAAATGTCTATTCAGCTCCACTGCCCATTTTTTAAATCAGACTGTTTGTTTTTTTGAAATTGAGTTGTGTGAGTTCTTTATATAATTTGGATATTAACTCCTTATTGGACATATCATTTGCAAATATCTTCTCCCACACAGGGGGTTGCCTTTTTGTTTTGTTGATGGTTTCCTTTGCTGTGCAAAAGCTTTTCAGTTGGATGTAGTCCCATTTTGTTTATTTTTGCCTTTGTTGCCCTTGCCTGAGGAGACAGATCCAAAAAATATCGCTAAGACTGATGTCAAAGAGCTTACTGCCTATGTTTTCTTCTAGGAGTCTTATGGTTTCAGGTCTTATAAAGTCTTTAATCCATTTTGAGTTTATTTTTGTATATGGTGTAAGAAAGTGTCCATGAATGAATAAAGAAGATGTGGCACATATATACAATGAAATATTACTCAGCCATAAAGAACGAAATCTTGCCATTTGTAACAACACAGATGGGCCTAGAGGGTATTATGTTAAGTGAAATGAGTCAGAGAGAGGAAGACAAATACTGTATTATTTCACTTCTATGTGGAATCTAAAAAACAAAACAAAACAAAAACATACCAAAAAAACCCCAAAACAAAACAGAAACAGACTCATCAATACAGAGAACAAACTGGTGGTCCCTGGGGGTAGGGGGATGGGGTTGGGTGAAATAGGTAAAGGGGATTAAGAGGCACAAAATTCCAGTTATAAAACATGCAAGTCACAGGGATGTAATGTACTGTATAGGGAATACTGTCAATAAAATTACAATAGCTTTGCCTGATGACAGATGTTTACTAGACTTATAGTGGTGATCAATTTGTAATGTATATAAATGTCAAATCACTAAGTTGTACACCTGAAAATAATACAATATTCTATGTCAATTAAACTCCAATTTTAAAAATTTAAATTAAAAAATAAGTACTTGTGAGATACAAGATCACTACTGTGTCTCTATGTGGGCGTGGCCATTTTGTTCCACTTTGGATATTAGGAGGTTCTCGGAGCTGAGCCCCCTTGTAATGAATTGCATTGCTTAATGATACAGTGGAGCTGGAATGGTGGAGAGTGGGGTCTATCAACCATTAAAGAAAACTGATCTAGTTCCTCCAGAGTCAACCTGGTATGGCAAACACCAAACCCCTTAGCTAAAACTTAACTGGATAAATAATGGGTACTGGATCTCTTATACAGCCAAACTCAACTCACACATTTGATAAAATATATATGTAAAGGAGTTCAGTCTACCCTCAGAACTTCACAGAATTACTGCAATTTAAAAATCATGTTCTCAGTTTTCTTCAAATACATAAAGGTCATGCTGCTCTTCCAAAAAGCTGATACCAATAGCGATGCTTGATTTTGAATGGCTGAACAAAAACTGCCAAGGAATTCCTATAATTGATATTTAAAATACAAAATCCCCTTCTGTTCACCCCCACTGACTCTCATCCCAGCTTATATCAAGAGTATAAGTAGACACTTGTTTTTGTTTTGGTCTCCATGTCACATCCCTCCCCTTTGAGAACTTCATGTTCTTCTTTTCCATGTGATTCCTGTGAACTTTCAGTCAAGGGGTTAACTTCTTTGGCCACAAAAGTAGGTCATGACCCAGAATGGCCAATTAGAGCACCCTACCTCCCTGCACATATAAGCTAAGCAAGACCAGCAGTGACATGGATACCAGGAAAGAATATCTCCTTCTGAAGCTGCAAGCTTATATGAGCCTGGAGCTTTCAAGGCTCTATTTTCTACTATGTCAAAGGAACTTGTACAACAATGAAGCTGGTAAAGAAGAAAGCAGAGCCAAGAAACAGAGAGCTGGTTCAGGACAGATACACCCTTATCTGAAGTCCATGTAACTCCTGAACTTCTAACACTATTTTTTTTCTTTAGTAGCGGTAGTTGGATTGCTGTCATTTCTAAAAGTCTCTGGGGATGTGGCTGTATTGAACCTTATCTCTATGCAGAAACTTGGAGAACTTAGAGTTAGCAAGAACTTTCTATTCCACAGTGAAACATTTCATTCTGCAATAAATAGATGAAGACATGAAGCTCAAAGAAGGCAAATGGTTTGCCTGCAATTACCTAGTTAGTGCTAGAGACGCAACTAGAGCTTTGCTCTCCTGTTTTCCTACCCCATCTATCATATCATGCTCTCTTTGGTACCACTCAGTACTTATTGTACCTTTCTTCATATGGTTATTTTTTAAATGCACACGTTTGTATTCCTCTCACTTACCTTAGGAGTTCACTGATGTG